AATAGATACTTCTTTACTTATCGACAAGTTTATTTTAACCGAATTCAATAGATAGCAATAATTATTTATTCTGCTATTACTTGATAGATGGCAGTACCTGGTGTAGACAAAAAAATGGTGTGCAACAAAGATAGATATATTCAAGTATAAAAGACAAGAAGCACAAATCCGGCAATAAAGACAGGAAAATTTCATTTTATCACTACGTGATGCTAGTGTTTTAGTGGATTAAATTTTCATTTGTACGAAAAACTAATTAAAACGAGTTAATTTATGAACTTGATTGCGCTTTGATGAAATTTTATTCAGTAAATCGAAATACTATTCTGTTGTGTCAATGAAATTTTCGTATTATTTTATTTCGTAGCGCTATAGATTTTCGAGCTCTGGAATCAGCTGATCCACAATCTGGAGTACACTATACGAACCGATAGCTGTATTGAACAGTTTTTGATAATTTATTTGTTCAAAAATTTTTTAAATGATAAGATAACATACAATGAGATGATATTATATGATATTATATCATATTTATATAACGATATTATAGCATGTTAATTTCAATTCATACTTTAGAACGTTATTAAAACAAGATAATGTTTAAAGAAACAAAAATAATAATTATTGGAGCTGGAGCTGCAGGTATTGCCGCAGCGACTAGATTAATGAAAAAAGGGTTGGAAAACATCATAATCCTTGAAGGAAAAGATCGAATCGGTGGTAGAATAAATACAGTCGAATTTTGTAAGTAAATTATTCTTATTTGTATTTAAACGTTTATTAAGCATTTCTATATAAAAGTTCAATTTGTATTGCATAAGATGGAAAAAGAATACACGTGTGTCATTAAAAGAATTATATTTTTATATTTTTCAGCGGATAATGTTGTGGAATTAGGAGCACAATGGGTTCATGGTGAAGAAGGGAACATTGTTTATGAGCTTGCTTCTCCACATAAGTTATTGAATTCCTCAAAATGTTTTAATGAGTACGATAAACATGTATTTGTTACTGCAAAAGGAGAAATGCTCTCAAAGAAAGAATCTGTAGAAATCTTTAAAATTTATTATGATATTTCTGAAAATATATCAGATGATATATATAATTCAGAATCATATGGGGAATATTTTATAAATAAGTAAGTATATTAATAAATTTGAAATATATTATCTGTTATGTATAAAATTGAAATACTATACAAGTTTATCTTGGACATTTCTTTAGAAGGATATTTTCAATAAATGCATCAATGTCACTTTCTCTAAACCATGCTTGCAAAGTTGGATGCAAATTTGCTGTTGCAACTGCAAAAACTTCTTTGTCAGAAACTATACACCTAAGAAAAAAAAAAACAGAAATATTTATGTATATAGATTAGTAAAAGATTAGTAAAAATAGTAACTTTGATAAACGTACCTTACACGGGAGTTAATGCATTGATTTCTCACATATTCATATCTTAAAAGAGAGTATATGTATCTTATATATTTTGCATCTAATTTATTTTGATCTTCAATATAGACTTTCTTAATATTACTTATTCTTTCCATATATCCTTGTGTTAATATAGGTATGATAAAATTCACCTAAAAGTTAAATTAAGTTAAATTAAATCTTTTAATCCAAAGTTAATTAAGTTATTTTTACCTGTTTAAAACAATCATCTATAAATTCTTCTGCCCTACTATATACATAATTTTCCTGTTCTTGAAGTATAAGAACTCCAATTTTGGGCTCTTTAGACCTGAATATTTTTGCTATATGTTGTGCAGTTTCTGAACCATCATCAGCAAATGTTAACATAACTACACAGCCATATGATTTTTTACTCTGTCAAAAAAATAAACAAGAGATATTAACTTATGCTGATCTAAAAGCACATAATTCTGTTCCAATATTTTACAATACCTTCTTTAAATTGTCTTGTATAACATGGTCAGAGATTGCTTTATGTTTTTGTACATTGTGTACAAAATTGATTGGAGTTAATACTAATGGAGCTTTTGGTATACTTCTTGGTCCTAACAAAGTTGATTCTACACAAATAGAAATATTCTTGTAAGCTAAATTTAAAACATATTATGATACATAAATATTATGATACCATCTGTTGTAATTTTTTGTGATATTTTATCAATTAAATATGTAATATCATCCTTTATTTGATTAATTACATCAAGACGATGTATTCTTTGTAAAGTACTTAAAATCTTATCTATAGTTGCATCAGTATGTTGCACATAAGCTAATAACACATAATAAGTTGGATCTTGCAATCCTTTAAAGTCGTAATCTATGCACTGTAACAAAAAAAGTTAAAGAAAAAATTAACAATAGAGACTTGGACATACATACACGTATTTGTTCCATTGTTAAACCCATATATGCAGCAAATTCTTGCCATCCACCGTAAGTTTTGCCTGTGGCAGTAGAACTTAATAATAAACATAATTTTTGCAAAGTAGTTTTTCCAATCTGTTCAAATAAATAGGAAGCATGAATTTGTGCTGTAGCTCTTTGAATATTTACTATTACAATGTCTAAATTTGGAGGACCATCAACTTCTCTCCTTAACTTCTCCAATTCAGGATCAACATTACTAAAATACGAAATTTTACATATTTTATATATATATAAACAATGAAAATATATTTTTTTCTTCAAATAGTTAATTTGGAAATTCTTACCCATTTGCAAACATATTTATAAAGTATATATAATTTATATTTTTGTATCACATTTTTTATGAACAAATATAAATTGTTCATAATTTATAACATAATATAATATTATAAAGGCACAATATAAGAAATTGTATTTAATAGTATACAAGTTTTAATAAATACACTATAGTTTCCTTTTTCATTTCAAGGTTGACGATCACATCCGGCTTGGTTTTACCGCTAAAATTCAAATTCTTATATTTAAAATTTCGATTGTTTTAATGAGAAACTGAAATGTATTATAAATTAAATATTTCAGATTTAATAAAATATTTGATGAAAATCCGTTTACTAGTCGCGATAAAGCTGAACAGTTACTAGATTGGATGCATAAATTTGATAATTCCATTCAGTGTAGCGATTCATGGTTTGATGTTTCTGCAAAAGAAATTAATAATTATTGGACTTGTGATGGAGATCATGTACTTAATTGGAAGGATCGCGGCTACAAAACATTATTTGATTTACTATTTGTATGTACATTTTTATCAATAACTACATTATATCTATATGTGCATATGTAAAACAATAATTTATTTTTTTTTTTTTTTGCTTCAGCAAAAAATATCAAACGCAGAAAGTAATCTGCCAATAATGGAAAAAATAGAATTTAATAAAGATGTTGATAATATTGATTATACCTCGAATAATAATATAATTGTAAAAACTAAAGATGGTTCAAAATATATAGCATCTCATGTTATATTTACTCCATCTCTTGGTGTTTTGAAAGAGAAACATGCCACAATGTTTACTCCACTTTTGTCTGAAAAGAAACAACACGCAATAAAGGCAAGGTTTAATAGTAATAAATAATATGGGAATTTTTCTATTTAATTCAAATTTCTCTACTTCTCTACTTAATTTTCTACTTGCTGTATACCTTAATTCAAAATATGATTGTAATATGTTATTTAGGGTTTAAATATTGGAACTGTAAATAAAATATTCTTGGAATTCCCACATAGATGGTGGTCAGAAGAATGTGCAGGTTTTAGTTTAATATGGTCCAAGGAAGATAAAGAAGAATTTATTAAATCTTATGGACAAGTATACAGTTACATCTTTTAATATTGATATACAACATCAATAATAGTATTTTTAAACTACTAACCATACATAATTTAGGAATATGAATGGCTGTGTGATGTGTTTGCATTTATTTCTGTGGATTACCAACCAAGAGTATTATGTACATGGATCTTTGGTAAATTTGCAAGACATATAGAGCTACTTACTGATAATGACATATCTGATGGATTATATTTATTACTAGAAATGTTTTTGAGTAAAACATATAATATTCCGAAATTTGATCAAATGATTAGGTAATCATTTAATATTCCCTTTCTTATTATTCTAATCGAAACGATATGGACGTATTATATTATTTATAGATCATCATGGTATACTGATGAATATTTTCGTGGATCGTATTCTTTTAAAAGTATAACAACTGAAAAACTAAATGCAGAAACTAAAGATCTAGCTGAACCTATTGTAACAGCTGATGGAAAACCTGTACGTATTTCTCTTAATTGAATTATGAAAAAAAAGGTTAAAATTGAAAAGCTTAATTGAATTATGAAAAAAAAGGTTAAAAATTTTATTTATTTAATAGATAATTCTTTTTGCTGGAGAGGCGACGCACGAACACTATTATTCTACTGTGCATGGCGCAGTTGAAACAGGTTTCAGAGAAGCTGATAGAATAATAGATTTTCAAAGGTAAATTGTAATAATTTTAAATCTATAATTATTACTTGGGTTTTATTTGGAATATGATAGTGTGGTGTAAAATAGTAGTCTTTTTGATTACTTATTCTAGCTGAAATAAAAGGTTTTATTTGTGCATAATGATTCTATGGATAATTATACTATAATTGATTCTAAGGTAAATTCATTTCTACGATCATTGCATGGCTTAAAAAATCCTATATATAGTTTGATTTTTATTATATATTGTAATTTAAAATTGTAATTTACACTCGTATTTTGTGCAATCGTATCAATTTAATTTTTAAATTTTAAAATTAGTAACTAAGCACGAAAATAATTTGTATAATTTTTGACATTTTCATTTCACATTTTCTCTTATTAATTTCTTTTGTTTGCTTTTCAATTTGAAAAAGTAGTTTGAATGAAACAACTAATTTATATTAAAAGCATTTATATTGAATCATATATTCTATTTCTATTGATTAGCATGCTTCTTAGGCGGTTAAAGTCTCCGCTTTAACCAGAGCCACGTTTCTTCATAAGGGATTACGGTAAATTATAGATTTATTTGATGTTTCACATTATAAAAAATATACGCTATTAATTTAATAAATAACTATTTATTTTTATTGTTTTAGTCCTTCAAAAAAAAAGAGATTTATATTTTATATCTAATAATAAATAAATAAAATGCATATATACACATGTATACATATATTTGTCCTTGTAATGTTAATTTTTCTAATATTTATCTACAAGTAACAAAACCTTTTTTGAATTAAATTATATTCATTCTTAAAATGTTATATTGTATTTGTTTGTTTATTCTTTAAATTTATAATGGTAATAATTTGTATATACACATAAAAATTGGTCACAGTTGTTAAACAAACAATAAAAATTTAATTTTAAAAAATACAATTCTGATCACGTAGAATACGTGGTTGGAGAAACGGATTCAATACGTTGGAAAGGCCGTTGAGTGCGTCAAACCAAAAAATATCAAGAACGAAACTTGTAATAATAGGTGCAGGCATTGCAGGATTAGCAGCTGCGAAAGCACTAGAAGATGCAAATTTCAAAGATTATTTATTAATCGAAGGTAATTAAAGCTTGAACGGAAATTGAAGAAGGATTTGTATCCACGAAGAGAAGAGAATGACTTACTATTTACTTTCTCACAGCGCAAAGCGAAATCGGTGGTCGAATTCAATCTGTTCCATGGAATAAAGGTTGGATAGAATGTGGGGCACAGTTTGTACACGGTGATCAAAGTCAGTTAGCCCAATTATGTTATAAACATGATTTACTCTCAGACGTACAATGTCGAGATGGTCAAGGAATTTTCATTCGCAACAGTGGTTGTAAAGTAGATGAAGCTTTAGTAGAAGAGATAGATGATCTTATTTGTAATACATTAGAAGATTGCGAGGATTATCAGAACAAAAATATTGAAATAGGTTGTGAAAATATCGATGCGGTTTTAAGAAATTCTCTCAACAAACATTTACATGAGGAGAATGATTCGCTAGTAATAAGAACCATTAAGAAGGAAATTTTCGATTGGAATATTAGATTTCTTGCAATAGATAATGCTTGTTTCAGTCTTGATGAATTATCTACGAAATACTGGGGAAAATTTAAGGTAAATATTGCGATGTTGAAATTCTTGTTACGAAAAAAAATGTAACAAATATAATATTCTTTTTTTATAGTTTGTTGGGGGTCCAGAACATCTTTCATTTAAATCTTGATATAAGGCTTTACCCAAACTTATCGCCGATAGTTTGGGTAAAGAAAATTTACGTCTAAATACCTCTGTAGAATCAATCAAGTGGGAACAAAACGATTTCAATTCTCCGCTTATTTTAAATGTTTCTAACAATACTCGTATTCTTGCGGATTGTGTAATAATTACGTGTTCCCTTGGTTATTTAAAAGAAAATTATAAAACTATGTTTATTCCATCCTTACCGAATCTCTTCAGCCAGGCAATCGAATGTTTAGGTTTTGGGTTAATAAATAAAGTTTTTCTCGATTTTGGGATTTCATGGTGGAAACCTAATACAAAAGGATTTCAACTACTTTGGAAAGAAGGAGTATTTTGCAATAAAAATCTGGCTGTGTGGACTAGAGATCTGACAGGTTTTGATGTTTTACCTAATCACGAAGGTGTACTCCTCGGTTGGGTTGGTGGTCGTGGAGCTTATATTGTTGAAACTTTGAGTGAAGAACAAATTGCAATAGACTGTGAAAATTTACTTAAACATTATTTAAAATGTTATAAAATATCTCCAATAAAGAGATGCTTGAGAACACAGTGGAATGCGAATAAGTATACTCGAGGTAGTTATAGTCACATTACAACGAGATGTGACGCAAATGGCATTACGCCACGCAGTCTGTCACAACCGATATGGGGTAAATTAACAGAACATGATGATAAGGTAAGATCATCGAAACACTTGATTAGAAAATACTCGGTGCAATGAAAAAATTTATTTTATCTTAGGACGTGCCTATTATCATGTTTGCTGGTGAAGCAACACACGAAAATTTTTATTCCACGACACATGGTGCTTATGATACAGGAATAAAACAAGCACAAATTTTTTTACAGTATCATGTTGCTGAGAGTTAATTATACATAACTTTGAATCTCTAGAGAAATACAAATGAAAGTAATTTGAAATATGTGAACATACTTACGCACATTTCTTGTAGACATGTATATGAAAATACATATGCATACATTCGGACTCGAAGTAAATCGAACTTTCTTATATTTTATATTATATAATTGCATAATTTTGATTATATAATTGCATATATATAATTTAGGTCATTTTTAAAATTATATGAAATTATATATTTGTAGTTTTGATCTAAATAAAATTTATTATTTTGTCATTGGACTTTTGTTTGTACTGTTAAGTTTATCGTAAAGGCTTATTAATCTTTCAGCTTCTCTCCATCCAGAACCAATCGCTCCATGTACTGTAGAGAAGTGGTGTTCGTTAGTAGCTTCACCTCCAAATAAAATTACCTAGAAGAAACAAATGTAGTAACATAAGCAACACTGTATTTATAGATTGTTCAAATCAAACTTACAGGTTTCCCCATTTTTATAATTGGTTCGGATAATTGCAACGCGCTAGAATTCGTTTTTATAGTTTCTATGCTCTGAAAACTGTACGTACCACGGAAATGCTTATTTTGATGCCATTTACTTCTACAAATAAAATGAATTTTGTCAGATACAGATAAGAAGAATATACTAACTGCAAAAATGGTACCTTATCATTGTTATTGGCCTAGTGACATTATAATCTTTCGACAGCATATTATTTAACATCTGTACTGCTTGATCAAAAATTTCGTCATCAGTGACATCATCTATTAATCGCGCACCTTTTCCAGATACCCATATGTACAGTAAACGAGGTTTGTGCTCGACAAAAAAAAAACCTATAGCATAAGACATCCACCTTGTTTTTGGCTGTAAAAAGTAAAAATATGTTTTATTTTTATATTCACGTAAATATATATATATATATATATATATTTACTTATAGCACAACTTTAAATTCTTACATTACTGTCAAGCTTCTCCCTCTCTTCTTTAGTCCACAAAATTCTAAATCCTGCGTTATTCGTTTTTTTGGTATTAAACCAAGTATCGTTGAACGCTAGAAATATTTTACAAGCATTTCCAAATCCTAATCCCTAAAATGAACAGTTAAATATTGCTAATTAAAAAGGTTAATTTTTATTAAACTGGAGAACACAGAGAACATACTTTAATTGTTTTAATTTTTGATTCCGGTAATGGAGGATTAAATAGAGTTTCGTACTGTGCTTTAAGCACACCTAAAGAAGGCGTCATAATAACGTGATCTGCTATATATTCTTTTCCATCTAGCGTTGTTACTTTCACGCTATTGTCTTCACTGGAGTAATCAACTTTCGTTACTTCGGCATTAAGTATCGTTTTGTTTAATACAGGTAACTCCTCCTCTGGATTTGGAATTTTTTTCTGTTTAAAAAAATAGGATAATAAGATAAGTAAAGAACATTCAGCGAGTGAAAAATAATATAATAAGATAAGAGGCACAAACCATTAATATATCGAGAATGGTACCATACCCTCGGTTCTTCCAATTGATCGCCTGATCACCCTCACATATTCTATACTCGGCATACACTTTTGCCGTAACATCGTACCAATTGTCAGCAGGATCGAAGCTGATTTGCATCATATTGTAAAGCCATAGTAATTGTTCCTGTAGCGTTTCATTTAATTCCGGAAATTTTTTAAAACAGTCTTTCAACCTAATGTAAATCCATTGTACATCAGTGTGTAAAATAAATCTTAATACGCATCACTTCAGACATGAATTCAGGACAACGGATAATAACGTTCATTTAAATTTATTCCAGAGAAGATTCGTTATATACGGAATCATAATTTGTGAGAATAAATTAATCGAATTGTACGAAAGTAATAACATTAAATCGCTAAAAAAAAAAAAGTAAGAATCATTAAAAAATATGCAAGACAAGAATTATTAAAAAAATTCAATTTCTTCTTAATATAATATTATTTAATATTTAATACTTAGGAAATGCTCAGTTTTACCGACTCTACTTTGCAATCTTTCAAATATACTATAATATATAATGGTCAATTGCATTCAAATTTCTGATCAAGAAAAATCAAGAAAGTACGAGATACGTTCGTTCGAATTTTTTTATCCTGAGTACACTCGTGAAGCGGCGACATAAAAGCACGAAAATCGTACTTGTGTTCGATACATTCGCCGACGGAGCGTTGGCACTTGTCACCCGTAAATTCCTCTGTCGTGTCGAAATAAGTTAAGTAAGTATCCGTAATGTTTTTCATAATTCTAGTATCGATCAACTCGCCGGTAGATGTGTATACTTCGTCGTTTATTGGTTTTGAATGATCCGTAATGTTCAAAGGAGCTACCAATTCGTATGCAACGTTCCCCTTTTCTCCATGAATCCATTGCGCGCCTAAATCGACTACGTACTCGTCTACGAACGTAAACAACCGGTCAATCTCGTTTCTTGAATTTTGAATGCTGTATCATTATCTCGAAGTCGAAGCTGTACTCACCAAACTTTATTGTGTTCACTCGTCCACCAATTCGATCCTCGGCTTCCAAAATAACGAGATTTTGAAAATCATTCTCGAGCAATTTCGCTGCAGCCGCGATGCCAGATGCGCCAGCACCAACGATCACTATACGCGGCGATTTCGTATCATCGGAAATCGTGCCTGAGATCAGGCAAAATAGAAAGATCATGTAATAGAGCATCTTCGACAGTAAAATGAACTCTGTACGAACAAACTTTTATCAATTGACAGATTGGACATCTAGTTTTACGCAATGACTCTTATATATACTTTGCTCATAGTTTGCCTTTGTGAGGAAATAGTGGTAATATCTGGAGCATGCAATTGGTAGTAATAACATCAGTTAGATAGCGGTTAATAAAGAAAGATAATCAAATAATTTTTCTATAAATTACTATATAACATAACCTGTATATTAATAGTATATTACCTAAAAATTAATTTTAAAAAAAATGTAATTACTATCTGTTGCTATATTGGAAATAAAATAATAAAAGTTTTTTTGTTTGGAAATTACATCTGCATTATTTGTTATATAAATTTTAATGTTTTCTTTAAATTGGCAGTAAATTATAGAATTATATGGTATATTTAAATAGATGTGATTTGAAAACGAAATCACGAGAAAATCATGTGATTTGAAAGCGAGCTCAAGAGAAAAAACATTTTTAAGGAAATGTCTAAAATAATTGCAACTTCGTTTCTATCCAATTAATGAGTTTTTATGTTATGTAAATTGAAATAAATATCTATCGACAATATAAAAATTAATAATGTAACTATCCGAAAAATTTCCCTACGATAAAGAAATGTTGATTAAGATGTTTATGACTTACCGCAAAGTCACGTGACATCCAGAATGCACACTAACCAAATTAACCAATCACATGGTATTTTGAGTTACACACATTGACAGTGCGCGTCCATATGCATTGAACTGTTGAACTCGTGTTGTTCTTACAAATCGCATCTTTCTGTAATCGTACTGAGTAATCGTTAAAATTAAATAATAAATAAGAGGCTGACGTTGGCGATAGTAAAATCACTTGTCTATTGAATATTGTATCAGCGAGACAAATAATCTTTTTTCTTTTTCAAGATCATTAATTAATTCAAGAACAAGGAAATGTCCTTGGAAATGTCCTTGCAAAAATGATGTCTCGATTCATTTTTACTATACTTTTAATATTTACCATAATATTAAGTGTGTCCACGAATAATCCAGGTTAATTTTGCTATTTTACGTATTTTACGTGTTTAATAATTACATATTTCACGTAATCATTACGTATTTAATAATTACATATTTTACGTAATTAATAAGTTGTCTGCATGCATCTCTCGAGAAGAGTTATTTATTTATTGTTTTTTCATTTCCGATTGTATGTCAAAATAATGTAATGTAAGTTTTTTTTTTT